CCGGTGCTTCTCCTAAAATCCCAGGGCTGCGCTGAGCGGGCGGGAGCGGGGCAGCGCCGGGATGCGCTGCGCCTTCGGGACAGCCGCCGAGGGACATGCCGAGAGCTGGGCACCCGTCGGAAAATGTGCTTGTAGCTGTCTTCTTCTGCTTTGTGTGGAATATGTCTGAGCTTTTGCTGCAGCCAGGACGCCGTGATTAATGATGCTACAACTGTGAGTCTCCGGAGCTGGGTGGGACTGAAGCAGAATGAGGGCAGGTTTGGGTAGCGGCTCTTCAGCCTAAGCCGCTGTACCGCTGATGTGCTTTCCTGAATGCTGCTTTTATTATTGCTTACCAAATACCAGGTGTCTGTGCAGTTTTAAGCCTCGTCCATTAAGGAAAATAAACCACTCGAGAGGGAGTCAGCAAAAATATCCAGTAGGTTTCTGTTTTTAAAATTGTTTGACTTGCTCGATTTCCATGTAATTTATCTACAAGAGCCAATTCATGCAAGACTATCCAGTTACAGACCTGCCAAGGCTATGAGAGAACGCAGCCAGCAGAGCCTGGGTGGACACGTCCTGTATGTAGGGTTGTTCCGACATCCAGGAATGCTGCACCGGGCCAAGTACAGCCGATTCAGGAATGATTCAATAACATCCCTAGATGAAGGTACGCCAAACACATCTTTAAATATCAAAGGTTCTTCCTCTTCTTCTCATTCTTCAACACCTAATTTACTGACGGAAGATGTCTCCTTGGGGCCACAGGACACCTGCACCACCCTGTGTGCACTGATCCCCCGGATGGCGAACATTAAACTGGCCAACCCATCGAATCTGCCGGGGCTGAAAAGCTTCTGTCTAGGAATGAAAGAGGTGCCACGAATTAAACTCACAGAGTGCATTACCATCCCGAGCAGCCCAACCTCGCCTGAGATCAGCTGCCTCTCAGCCTCTTATCCACAGCCCGACCTGGACAAGCTGGCCCTGACCCCAAAGCTGGCGGGCGACTGTGGTGTGCAGGGGGCTGAGGAGGCCTCTCCTGCGGGCAGGCAGGAGAAGAGCCTCGTGCTGAGCGGTGAAGGTGTGGGGGAGCCGGGAACGACCTACGGCGTGCGGGTGAGTACTTCTCCCAGGGTTTCCATTCTCTGACCAAGCAAACTGCGCAGGTGGCTGCAGAGTGACCTCTGTGCTCCCACTTCTGGAGCCAGTGCCTGAAACCACTGGCTGCTCCTGTATTTCCTGTATCTCCTGACGTACGCAGGGCTGTGGTGTCGGACTGAGGGAGTTAAAAGGACCACAGCCGCTCCCAGAGGTAACACAACATCCATTTCCAAAAGACTATCTTTAGACTCTCAGAGGAGTACAGCTGAGCTGCGATTCAAATGAGGTTGCTCTGGCCTGAAATGCACATTGGAGGGAGAAGGAAGCCCATGAAAAGGGTTTCCCATCCCTCCCAGAGCAGCTCGCAGACAGTAGGTGCACGCTGGCCCACGCCACTGATGGATTTGTCACGGAGCTTGTGGGAGAGATGCTGGGAGCGCTGCTGATGCTTGGGAGCTTTCTACTTTTCTCTCTGGACTTTATATTTCTGTGGCCAGACCTCGCTGTTTGCTAGCCATTGCTTCCTTCTCTAGGCTCTGAAACTGCCCCTACATATTTTAGTAGCTCCAGGTGCTCTGCTTTCGGCCAGCCTGCAGCAAGGCCTCTCCTGATGGACCTGCCTCATGTGCTGCGGTTTGAGCAGTGCCTGATGCAGTGGAGCCTGTGATTAAGGCTTTAAGGTACCTATAGAGATTCAAGTGCTGAATGCTAATACCAGAGGTACACTTGAATTCAGTTTTTGATACAGTGAGGAGACAATGAAGCACAGGGAGAATTTCCCAGGTTTCTGTTGTGGCCCAGGGCCAAGAGCAGAGGCACTGAGCTGTCACCTGGTGGGAAGCACGTGAGCAAGAAAGGCAGAAGAAGCAAAAAAGAAAAGGACTTGATCAGAAGGTTGTGTGAAGCTGGGGAGGGCTCGTCCCTTCTTGCTGCTCCCCAGGTTGTACTTCCAGTATGGTTTTCTGCCAGTGTTTCTGGAAGTCACCCCACTTAATGGGGAATCTCTCTGAAGGGGGGTTGCTGGCAGGAGTCTCCCAATGCAATGGAGAAATGTTGTTTCCCTGCATCTCTCTTGCATCTTCCCACTCCTGTTGCTCCTGTGGTGGTGGGCGTGCAGGAAGCCAGCCCCAGGAGAGCTGCAAGAGCACTGCTGACGTGCACCAAAACACGTCCTGGCCAAACTCTTGGTGTTTTTTTAACCAGGCCCTTTAATAACAAGTAGGTGTGTAAATAAGCAGCCTGGGGGTTTCGGGGCCTCAGCATCAGAGCATGGGCAAGGAGCTCATTTCCCCAGGGACCACGAGGCTTTTCTGGGAGCTGGCGATGAAGGCTCAGCTGGGTGAGGGACACCGGGCTGCAGTGCAGAGGGAGCGTGGTGCAGTGGGATGGTCTCTCCCGGAGGCAAAGTGGGGCTGAGGGACTGGGCAGCTGCAGGAGCTGCTCCCAATCCTTACCCCAATCCTTATCTCACCCTGGTCCTGGCTGTCCCTCAAAGACACCTGCTGTCCCCATGCAGCTTCTCATGCTCTCTTAGGATTCGGTATTGCTGGGATCTCCCCAGAGACCATTTGAGGAGGAAAGTCAAGTCTGTGTTACTGGGATCGCTGCTGCCAGAGATCTTTGGCCTTAAAAGCTTAACTGGAGTCTGAAGAGGATTTGGCACTTTCATAGAGAGGATCCACAGTTATTTTAGAAAAGCAATGGTATGGTGAAGAAATGAAATGCTTTAGGGCAGAAGCTGTCCCCTCTGGACTGGAGTGAGGCAGAAATTTTATTTTTGGGGTTGGTTTAAGAAGAAGTGACGCTGGACTCAGCGCATCTCCCTGGGAGGCAGATGCGGCTGTGCCTGGCTGGTGGTGACAGGGCAGCTGTGTCACAGCTGTCTGTCACCTGGGCTCTGGTGAGGAAGCCAAGACCCGAAACAGCACCTGTTCCCCCAAGATGTTCCCCTGAGATGCTCATGTGAATAACAAAAAGCCCAAATATTAATATTTTAATAGGAGCCTGGACAGTTTGGGATATATATATATTTTTAATCAGTTGCTAGTCTCTAGAGTAAGAGGAGCTTGACTACTTCTAATGTAGTTCAGAACGATGTGAAGTACATCCTGAAAGAGCATTACATGGGCACCTGTCCCCTGCACAGTCCTGATTTTGTCTGTGGAGGGTGCGACAGGCCAGCCTGGGAACCTGCTCTCTGTCTCTGTGTGGGAGCAGGGTTCAAGGCAGCTCTTTCCCCATCCCCTGAAGCCACGGCACCTCTCCGGTGCTCAGGGCAGGGAAATAATTGGCATATTTCAGCTGCAGCCACTTCCCTGGTGTGCAGCACCCCGACATCACACCCAGGGAGCTGCTTCAGCCTCGACATCCCGCATCGCCTATTGTAAATAGCTAACTGCATATGTACGGGCAGCCAGGGCTCTCGCAGGAAGGAGACGGGCTCTGGTGATTCATGGCTTCAGAGCTGCAGCTGTGAATTGTGAGCTGGGTGCTTGGGGCCGTAGGGTGCTGGGAAGGCGCTTGCTCTGGTGGGCAGATGGGGACAGGGCGTGTGGCAGCCCCACAGCCCCCACTGCTGCACCAGTGTCCCATGGGGCTGTGCCTTGCCACAGCCCACACTGCCTCCGAGGCCGATGCTTTTCTGCGGGTAACTGCTTCTTAACAGAAGCTGTCAAGTTTTTAGGCCATTTGCTTTGTCACAGCTGGGAGCACGGGGACAGGATGGTTTGAACCAATTCTCTTGGAGCCCTGGGCTGAGTACAGCGCTGTGGAAAGTGGCTTTTTAGGACAAAACTAAAGAGAAAGGGAAAATGCATGTGTCTTTGTGTGTGTGTGGATAGACACATGTGTATGTATATATAAAAAAAATAGAAATTTACAAACTTTTCCCTGTTTTTTTTTCTCAAAATGTGTTTAAAATTGGCAAACCCATGAATGAAAGGGTCAGACTTTCCCAGGAAGATTTCCATTTAGCTAAAGCCATTCTTCATCACAGGAATTCTTGCTGCCCCTTAGGGAAGAGGCTGTGCTCTGTGTGCAGGAGGAGCGGGACAGACCAAGGACCTGTCTGTCTGTCCGCACCACTGCTGCTACCGGGAGGAAGATGAGAGCAGGGCAAGTGCATCAGGCAACTTGCTGTCCCCAGAAAACAGCAGTGCAGGGGCTTAGGCTAGCACTGAAAAACAACTAGTGGGGTTTTTTTTTTGTGCTTAATGATCTTTAATGGGCTTTTTTCTTCCATGGAAGTGCCTAGTCTGTTTTTGCGCCCATTCTGCCTGGGTTTCGTGCTCTCTGGCAGGGGCCCTGGGGTACCGGTGCCTGTGGTGGTGTGTGGATGCTGCAGTGGGCTGCCTGCGCCTCTCCGCTCCTCTCGGGCGGATGGGAGAGCAGGCTCTGCCGGCTTCGCTTGCAGCTCTGGAAGGGGCTGGTGTTTGCTGGAGGAAGCCAGCACAGTTCAGGCTCAGGAATGAGCTGGTTGGATCTCCTGCAGGGTGCAAACCCGAGCCAAAGCTCTTCCTTAGCAGCATGACTGGTGACTGCCACTTGCTTTTGCCGAGTCTCCCATCCTGCCAGATCCATTGCAAGTTAGAGGTGAGTTATTCAGGCAAATGAAAGCAAAACTCTCCTGTGGCTCTGGAGCTGCCTGCCCTTTGCGGCAGAGAGCCACAGCCCCCATGGGCAGCCCCCCCGC